GACGAAGGTGTAATAGGAGGCGGCTCCGTAGTAGTCGTTGTTGTTTCCGGGGTAGTTGTAGTCTCCATAGTTGTGGCTTCTTCCGTAGTCGTTTCCATTGTTGTTGTAGTGATTCTTCGAATTGGAGCAAAAGTTATTCTGGAAGAAGGAGGACGATGAGTCGTTTCATCTGGGAATGTTGTAGTAGTTTCAGCTGGGAAGGAATCATCTGGGAACGTTATTGTTGGTGGAGGTAGTGTACTTGATAGTGGAGGTGTCTCTGTTGTCTGCTCAGTTGTTGGTTCCATCGTCCATGCTCCGTTATTATTTATGAATGCTTCTCTCACAAATACAAACATCGAGAAAAATAAATGCGGAAAATAAAATCTGACATATACCGTAAAACCTGTATTAGAAGGGCCCCTGTAATAAAAGGACCCTCTTCAAAATGAGTTGTTAGAAGTTAAAAGTTTCCCGTTTTCAGTGAAAAATGTTCCGGGAATTCCGAAATTTCACAGAAATTTGTTGAAACACAGTCTTTTTGCTTAAAAATTTGCCTAAGTTTGGTGAAATTGATGGATTTTCATGCATTTAATTAAAAAATTGACCACATATTTTGAAAACAATTTAGGAAAAAATGGCCGGAAAATAGAAGGGTCTTTGTAATTAAAGGAATCCTCTGATAGAAAGTCCCTCTGCAAACAATGAGTGTGTCTACTTGAATTTTCAGTTAATCGATGAAGCATCGAACAACAAATTGCAGTTCTTCATAAAGTGTGTTAGTGATTCTCAGGAACAGGTATTAGAAAATATCGTTTAAACACTAGTTTTTACGAACCAACAAATTCAGAACGCGAAGTGCTATGCTCCGAAAAAGCAGTTTGAACAGGAAGTAAATTGTGAAACTCTTGATTCTTGGTCTTCGTACTGTCGACAATTAGAACTTTGCTGTCCTGCAAAGGATCGTTGCGATTCAGCAGCAGAAGTCGATCATGTGGGAACGCGATTACGTCTTCTAGAAAAATCATTTTCACTCCGAGCGGCTGCTTGTCAGTTCAAGCATGCATTTCATCGAACATTGGCAAGGAAAATGTGAAAATGTGACAAGCTGTAGGCTGGTTAGAGCTAAAATATTTTGATGACAAATACGGGGTTTTTGCTTCTTTTATTATGTTTTCTTTTTTCGATTTTTCTGTATATTTTTGAGAGTGCTCATGTCTCATCACAAGCTCAAAAGTGTTAACTTATTCGTTATAACTTGTAACCTTATTGTTTCCCATTGAAAAATGACAGGGTTAAATAAATCTTTTATATTTACAAAGTTAAAACTATCGTGCAATCGGCGAGTATTTAGAATTCACAGATTTTATAATAGAATTCCATTCAAAGGGTGAACAGAATTCCGATAGATGAGTCAGAGTCTTCGTCGAATCGAGCCAGCTCTTTTCGGGGTTTCTTTACATGCGAGAAATTGAGCGTGATGGTATCCATACTGTTTTCAAGGATAGACTTGATAGCTGGGGCCAGCTTCGTCTTCTTCTGTGATTCCTCTGTACACACTTTGCGGAAGCTGAATTTGCAGGCTTTTACTTGATTATTGGAATAAACGCTTACTTGTAAATGACAACGAGAACAAACATGACAACGAACAGTGGAATGATTATTTGTGTCCAGAGGGCTTCGACTCCTTTCTTCCCTTTCTCCTGAATTATCGCACATTTGTAACGGGCCATGACTGATGTATCCGTTTCTTTCTTTCCTGTCATCAATGCTACCGATCTTCCAGGAAATTCCTGACAAAATTCTTGCATACGATAAGTACCACATGTTTCTTCTTCCAATTTCGTTTGAGCAGCTCCGAAAGTGATACGTTCAGTTTCCCAGTTATCCTGGCAGTCAATCAAACTGACAACGATTTGAACATATCGAGGTGGCGGTGATTCGCGATTCGTTTTGATGATATGTTGAAGTCTGAAATTAGTTCCATGAAAATATATTCCTACAATATAACTAATTTTAATACCTTTTCTCTGCGAACTGAAAGAACTCATTGCGGAGATCAGCGCTCATTTCCCTTGGATATTCGACAGCTCCGTTAGCAAATGGAATCAATAGAACGATCATGAAAGTGAGTGAATGCATTGTTAGTGAATATAATCTGAAAATTCAAGTTTCTCAATCCCGTAAGAATCGGGGAGACACCAAAAAGCGGGAAAAATCGAAAAGGGGGAGAAACAAAACCAATTCGTTAAGAAAGCTGAACATTTTTTTCTGAGAAGAAAGCCGAAAACCTTACAAACTACAGTAGCACTTAATTCGTTGCGAGATTATCACCTATTTCTAGCGGTGCGCCTCTCACTGTGTCTCGCCACCCTCCTCTTTTCACACACTGTCTTCGTTTTATTTGAATAAATTTTCGAGTTTTTGACTCTTAAAGGTTGACCCAAATGTTCGAAGTTTGAACAATTTCTTGGATTTTCCAGTGCAAGGGAAACAGGGCGAAAGAAATGAAATGTTCGGAAAAAAAACCACTCCACTCATAAACCAAAATTTAATACATAAAACAATAAATACCACAAATTATTTGACAAAATTTAGAAGAAAAGGGGAGCAATAAATGGGACGAACAATTTAAATTGAACAATTAGAAAAGGAAGCGAGTTATTCATCCAAATCGGCCCACGAGTCGGTGATAAAGTGCATCAGACAGTCTAGCTTGCGTTGAACCGTTTTTAATAGAGACTGAAAATAAATAAAAAGTTTTACACTTCTAAAATGCCTATCATACCTTTTCATCGCTCTCTTCAAGCTTCGAAATCTCATCATCCAGAATTCTGATCGTCTCTTTCATCAAATCATCACCCAATGGCCGAATCAGATGTCTATGAAGTTGTTTGAATAATCGACGAATCTGCATAGAATTTTCATTCGAATTTCGAGTTCTTCCTCTCTTCAAGCTCATCAATATGCCGTTGAAAAGTGGAGTGAATTCTTGCACCGGAAATGTTTGAAAAATTAATTTTTTGATGTCGTAACGAAAAATCCATTCTAACCTGGTCACCAGCCATGAACAGACGGACGGCTTTCGATGCCTTTGTCTTGAAATTCTCATTCAAATCGATATCGGCGGCAAGAGTCTCGAACTTCATAAGACTGATTGAAAAAAAAGACTGATTGAAAAAAAAGAAATCGATAAATTCATTTCCGGGAGGTCTGCAGTCGTGATCGATTCAATATCGGAAATTGTTGTAACTTCAGAGAGACACTTGTTCTGAAATTAAAAACAAATTAATTCAAACTGTCTGCTTTTCAGTATAACCTTCAAATTTTTTTCCAAATTGCACCGAAGCGCTAATTGTAGTTTTTGTACAATGGTCTTCTCCGAATTCTTAAACAGAAACTCCTCACATCTTCGAATTGCCGTTGGTACGTCATACATATCTGCCAATTGAAGGATTTCAGTGACAGTATCATCTGAAACTTTCGATTAAAATCCCATTTTCCCTGAAGATTACCATCAATTGAAGATTTTCTACCATTAATTGAAGATTCTCCATGAATGAGTTCCCGAAACTTCTGAAAATCGTCGATTTCGATTCTGTTCAATCTCTTTCTTTTCACATTCTTCGAATTTTCCGAAAAAGAGAGCTTTGAAATAGGAAGATTGGAGCGCAAGGAACTGAAAAAAGATATTTACTTAGTAATTTTCAGAGAGTGCAAACCGTTTTTAAGACATAAAACTTGGTGTCTTGCACTACCAAAATCACATCGGAAACGTCTTTTTGAGACTCGCCAAAATTTCGAATTTACTTTTTTCCGAATCCAGTCATTTTAAGAATCTCCACTTTCACTTCAACGGTCAAATCACTATTAACAATATGATTATCAATATCTTCCCAAGCCAGAAAATTATCAAATCCGCTTTCTTCTTCCATTTATAAAAAAAGGATATCATCGTTCGAGTGACATTGTTGTAGTTTTTACCCATCATTCTGAACTCTAATTTTGCCTCAATTGACCATTCATCTCCGACAAGTAGGTTCACAACAAACATGAAAACCAAATCGAATTTTCGTTTATTTGATTTTGCGATTTTCTCAGTTTCAGCCACCACCAATTTCAGTTTTTCAAGGATTTCATTCTTGTTCACCGCCGGTTCGGTTTTCGAAACTTCTTCAGTGCGTTCCCTTTTTCCTCTTCTCACGCGTTTCATAAAGGGGCGTGTCACTTTGCAACCTGCGGCGCGCCCACGTTTTATTGAATAGACAGTATTGATAGCCGAAAACAAGATATTGATAGCTCAGCTAGCTGGGACTATAGATATGGAAAATTACTAGAAAACTGAGGTGAAATTGGAGAGAGAGAGAGAGAGAGAGAGAGAGAGAGAGAGAGAGAGAGAGAGAGAGAGAGAGAGAGAGAGAAGAAACGAAGAAAATAGGAAACCCGGAGTAAAAATCGTTCATTCGTGGTGAAATCCAGAAATACGCATTTGTGCATGCGCCTTGAAGGTACTGTAGATTTCAAAATTATTTTTGATTTTTAACAATTTTATGCTGACAAATTTGATTATCCTTGCTTATGTTTTTTGCAAATTAATAATCCACTATTTCTGTATCTCTCGCTTTTTGGTTTCTCGTCGATTCGCACCGTCTCCGAAGTCTTCTTCGTCTTCCTCGCTAATGTAATCGACTCCCGCGCAAATAATTCCAAACTCTGACAACCATTCTCGGCGCGAACGTTCGAAAAACTCGTTGTTCCATTCTGTCTCGACTTAAAATAATTTTCAGCTGATAGAGTTTTCTTTCATCCCTTTTTTGCTTATTACAGTGCCAAACCTTGTCCATCTTTACAGATAATGTTCTTCGGTAGCCGACTATGGCGGATATGCGTCTTCTTCACGTTCATATTCTCGATGCTGACCTTTGCCAACCTGCTTTCCGTGCTTCCACTCAACATGCACACTTTCGATACACTGCCAGAGATAGTTCAAAAAGAAATCAAGGGACAAGCAAAGATTAAGTGAGTCTTTCATATTTATCTTCAAAAATGCCTTCACAGACTTTCAGAATATAAGAAGCGACTTGCCACACGTCAACGTTTGCTGCCCGAACAAGATCTGATGTTACACCTTCAGCCACAAATCTGCTATCAAGGAGAAAAATCGCCAGAAGGACAAACGCCGTGGCCGCAGGAGATGACTCAGTATTTTTGTGCATCGAATGAACTCGCGAACTGGTGTTTCAAATATAACAATCTGTATCAGACCACCGAGAACGTGTTTCCTCTGCCTAAAGGATATTGTCTTCACACAAGCCTCAGTTGCTACAGAGTTCGTCGTTGGAATCAAGCACTGGACGATTGCCATAAGTGGCTTTGCATGGCTACTTTCTTCCTGGTGTCCATAGTTTTGCATTCTTGGTAAGGTTTGACAATTATGGATTTGCTTTCAATGTTTCGATTTTAGGTATGTCAAATCACAGGAGCCACAGCAAGACCGACGTCCATCATTGCCGTCTCCACCGCCGCCGACAAGAAAACTTCCGAAAAGTGGCCCAATTCCACCACTCCGAAATCTTCGAAGTCGACATGAAAACTACAAAAGCAGAAGATAAAACATTCCATTATCAACAGTCTCGTGTATTATTACATACTTATATTATTCTTTCAATTGATGTATTTTCCAAACTTATCTCATTATCAGCGATCCTAAATGTATCATGTGTTTTCATTGTATGAAATTTGTTCTTCCTCTATAATCTCTCCTACAAAATACTCGACGATCATTTGCTAGAGTCTCACTTGCTCATTTGCAAGGATTGTTCACACACCTCCATTCTTAAATCTTCCAAAAATTTAGAAAAAAAATCGGTGGAAAACTGTCGAAAACTCGTGAAATTTTGCCTAATAATGGTGTCAACCTAAGACCCGCCCGCATTGCACGCAAAGTATAGTGGACGTCTTTGATGTACTATAAATAGGCCAAAAAATTGTTATTCAAAGTATAGGCCCAAAAAGTTTTAGCAAATGAGACTCTGAAAATGGGGAAACTCTAGCATATGAGATTCTTCAGCAAGTAAGACAAATGATCTTTGAGCAAATGAGCCCTCTCATCACTCCGAACAATTTTTCAGTGACAAAGGAGCCACGCACGCCTTCTGTTTACCCTTATATTTCCGTTTTCATGCTCATTTGCAATGCCACTTTTTTGGCCATTCCCAAGGGGAATTGGGTCGCAATTGAAACAAGACAAAAACGTTTTTTGTCGCATGCATTTCTGGACGACTTCATTCATTCCATCTGTTTCTCAAAATGCTACCGACCATTGTTTTACTCTCGCTTTTTTCCTACACGGTTGCTTCAGATTTCGGAAAAAACGATTCTAGAATCACGGAAATCGTACGGTATGACGGAAGGAGGATCCCATTCGAAAATCAACATCAGGTTTTCTATTATGTAAGGAATATGGAGACTATGAAAACACTAGTAGAAGTATAATAGGTAAACATCACAAATCCAGAAGTTGAAATCAAAGTGAAATGTGCACACTGTAATGCGGAAAGGTGCCGTCCTCTTCCATTTTGTTATTCGATACAGTATTCTGCGAGTGGTATGTAGACATTTATTACTCTTTGAATTCTAAAATGTTTTCTAGCTCGAAGTACTGGAGATTACTGTGCCGACGAGACAGAAATGTTCTCTCTAGTGGGTGCTCAACTCGATGCAACGACTTCGTCTCAAAGAAAACGACGACGACTTCATGAATCATGTCTGCCTTCGATAAATGATCCAACTATACATTATTGTGTTTGTCAAACTTTCGATGACAATGCTTCTTCGTAAGTTGAAAGAAAGAAGACACATAACTTTAAGAATTCAGACGAGAGTACGATGCACTTCGAAGAATCAGAATTTGGCGATATCAAAGTCTGATATTTCATGATGAGATCATGAAGAAATCAAGCAGTTGCGGATTATTTATCACAGTTCTTATGGCTTTGATTTGGTATGTTAAACATCTGTGTGTACTTTTTCTAAATACTTCTGAAAAAACTGACAGGTCAAACGCTCTAGCTCTTGACGTGCTCAATTAACCTTCATTAAAAATGCGTCAGCTGTCTTCGATTCCGAAAGAGACAAGGATAAAAATCGAGTTTGCTGTCGTTCGTTTCTTGCATTCTTAGATTCTTTCGATTTTTAAAACAATCTGATTTTGGTTTTAGGATACTAGGAAACAAATCATACCGTAAATCCTACCCTATAATAGAAGATTTCAAAAAGTGTCAACTAATAGAAAATGTATAATATCAAAACAATACAACATAAATTCCAGGCTACATCATTTATTGAGAATATTTTCATGAAAGTTTTCAAACCACACTCATTTATTGTTTCTATTTGACCAGAGTTTTGAAAAGTTTTTTTTTAATACCTTTTTCCACACTTAATTTTTTCCCAAATAGTGTTTTAATTGCGTTTTACTGTCTTTTGCAAATACACCAAGGATAGCAGAAACATTCAGAAATTCTGAAATTCTGACTCACTCAGAATACATTACTTGAACTGTTGCTTACTGTCATACAGCAAATTGAGAGACACAACTAAAAGGACCAACAAGAAAGCCAGGATGACTACTAGAAAAACTAGGACAACACCACCACAATTGCAAAAAAAAACACCGAACTCTCGACTCAGAAAAAAGACCCGGACGACGAAGAGACAACGAAACGCCGGAAACCGAAGAAAACACGCGGGTAAGAAGAGCAAAGAAAAAAGGCATATCAAAAAAGAAAGTTCACAAAGTTTTGGCTTCCTCATGCTCCTGATGCTCCTGCTGACATCCTGATGCTTTGTCTCTTGATATTCGGAACCTAAAATTGAACTTATTAATGTTTAACAATATTCATTTTTGTTACCTCATCGAAATTGCAGGTAACTTTATGAAATCCTTCCTAAACTAACGTGAACGGCGTGCTCGTCGGGAATCCTGAAATTACCATTTTCGAAAAAATTATTTTTCAAAATTGCCTATAAACTTCGGAAAATTTTGATCGTTTTTCAAAAAGTCACAACTAAACCTTTAGGGCGTTCTAACCCGAGAAAACTTTGAAACTTTACTAATTCCCATTCCTTACCTTTCATTCTATTTTGTTTTTCCTGTCACCTGAATTCAATCCAGTTAGTCCCGGAAGATTTTCTCGAAATCTTGGAAATTTCTGCATCTCGAACACCAGCTCCTAGAATTTTAACGTTGGAAAATATATTTTACGAAAATATATTTTCCTTCATCCTTCTAAATTCACTGATTTTTTATTTGGAATTTTTTTTCCTATTTTAAAAACTGCCCGCAAAAATTTGCGGCTTAGATTTTCGAGAAGTTGCTAATCAAAAGATTTAAAAGAGCATGTTTTAAATGAAAACCCATGAAAACATGATTTCCAAACGTTCCAAAAACAGGACCCGCGAATTCAAAAAATTTTCAAATTCCTATTTCCTCACCTTTCGCCACTTCTCCTTTCATCTGAATTCCAATCCTGCTGATCACCGAAACTGTCGTGGAAGGTGTCCTCGAAGTCCTCGAAGTTTCTACATCCCGAAGACCAAGCAGCTCCTGAAATTCTAACGTTGGAAACTAAACACGAATTTTCTTTTACCTTCCGCTATTCCTGTCACTTTGATTCAAATCCTACCGATCCTCGAAACTGCCCTGGAAACTGTCCTAGACGTCTTCGAAATTGGGGCACCTGCTGGGGAAAAAAGGAAAACCAAGCAGCTCCTGAAACTTTTACGTTGTAAACTGAGTACTGATTTTTCCTAATTTTTCTATTGGACATTGCACCCATTTTATTAGGCTTTCACGGAGATCACTGTAAATTGACTGTCCGTTCACGAGGAATATCAGATACCATCAAACCAGTAATAAAAGGGCCCCCAACTATTAACTTTGAGCCAACTAAAAACTGGAAACCTTTTCAAATTTATACTTCCAAGTAATTGAAGCTACCGTAATCTTCGCATTTTATGATATTTAACTTGCGTCGTTCACTTTTTTTCTAACCGACACGAATCCAATGTCAACCATTTCGCATTCACAACTTCACAAATTGCTCCTCCTTTCTCCTTATTTCCTCTAATTGACGTCTTCCCTTTTCGAATCAAATCACATCTCCTCCCCTTTCCCTCTTCTTCCCAATGTTTCCCCTCCCGTTTCGCAATCAGTGACCCCTCAAGCTGTGCCAAATGTCAACCACATATCAGATTTGTTGCCACCAACGTCTCGACATCTCCTTGCTTTGAAGCTCCGCCCACAAAGAAGCATAAAAAGTCGAAAGCAAAAGAAAAGAAGAGGAAGAAATGAAAGAAACTCCCCAACGAAAGTTATACTGGGCGTTGATTTGCTCTCTCCTTGTTAGTCAGTTTGTGGTTAGCCCGTTTTCCGTTTCCTTTTTCTCTCCTCCTTGTTTCTTTTTTTGGTTGTAAACTTTATCCTCTAATCAGTATTCCTTCCTGTGTGGTGTCTTCTCTAACAAATCCGCTCTTCTTTCAATGCCGACTAGCCTTCTGTTCCCATTCCACTTTATTTCTAACCGTCTCGACACTTTTAATCAGGTCTCTTTTTTAAAAAATGTCTTCAATAATCATTAGCTTGATGATCTTTTGCTAAATGCTCTCTTGCTAAATATGCTCATTAGGTAAACTCTCTCATTTGCTAAAATAGTCTCACTTAAGGTAAATTTTGATCATTTGCTAAATAGAAGACTTGTTCAAATTGAAGGCTTAGGCTGAAACTCCTTACCGGAAAACAGGTGTTTAAGCCTAAGCCTAAAATTTAAAACAAAAACCGGAATATTCTGTAAAAAATTCAGTCAAAAAGTACTGAAATTCCCAAATAACAACAAAATTTCCACTTTTTCCTTTTTAGCAAATGATCAAAATTTAGCAAATGAAATTTAGCAATTGAGACTATTTTAGCAAATGAGCGAGTTTAGCAAATGAGCATATTTAGCAAGTGAGCATTTAGCAAAAGATGAGTATTTGCCTTTACAAGGTATGCTTTGATTGAAAAAAAAACTGCTTAACTAGAACTTAAACGATGCTACTTTTTTTCTTCAATAAACTTCCAAACCTCAATTTTTCCAGTCATAGAATAGAGCTGACCATTTTCAAGATTTTGAGCTCAAATAAGGTTATAGAAACGCTTTCAGAACACTTTACTAGTTGACAGGTTTTAATCATCTTTTATAGGAACCGAGATAACTGAACCGAAAGTGCAGGTAGGGCGGTCTTCCACTAGAATGTTTACGGTATTCTACACAATACAATGAACTCCTTCAACTAATTCAAACTATTCCATTATTGCTGTATACAAAATTTATTGCT